AGACGTAGGTCGAAGTTGGTCGATCGAACCACATAAATCTCGGTGTTCTTTCATCTTGATTGTGGTTGTTTTATATCTTGTTAACTGTGGCTTGACTTCCAAGTTGCGTAGATCATAGTAGGCGGGGAGACTAAAATTCCCCAACAGAGTGAGGTCCCAGAATTTTCTTGACACGGTCGAACAATCCTAAATGTTAATGTTCAAATCACACAGAATAATCCAGAATAGGATGGTTGCGGAGTGATGAAAGATGATGGAGGGGAACGCTTCCTTCCCTGACTTTATGTCTTGGCCACTGAGTTAGAGTGAACGATCTGTACAGAAGAAGGTCGTGAGAGGGCGGGATGGTGATTCCCCCGTGGTACCTTCGACGATCAAGTCAGTTGATGAACTTGAGCTTGAGTAGAGTAATAGAACTATGTGTTCTTATGCTATGTGCGACGATCAAGTCAGTTGATGAACTTGAGCTTGAGTAGAGTAATAGAACTATGTGTTCTTATGCTATGTGCATTAGAGATGATGATCTCTGAACTTGAGCTTGAGTAGAGTAATAGAACTATGTGTTCTTATGCTATGTGCATTAGAGATGATGATCTCTGATTTTTAGGTCAGGAGATGAGTTTAGATTACGAACCTTTGGCTATGGCGAATAGCATCTGTATATAAAGAGGATGTCAATGGCAGATTGGTCATTTCGGCCATGCAAATAACGGTGATAAAGTGTGAGCTGGAAGGTGAGTCATCATTTGCTCTACCTGTGTCGGCTGACGATAGGAGGAAGATCACTTCGACCTCGATTTGAGGAGCGATCGATGAGACGTGGGCTGATAAGCAGCGTGATGACACATGGTCTTTGAGTAGACATGATATGACTTGTTGTCAGGATGGATAAGCTTCGGTGAAGTTATCTTCTAGCTTAACTGTGAAGCAATGTCCCTCATGATGGGACTCGTGAGGAGAGTCTACTCGTTGAGAGGAGTGACGACTCAAGGATTGTTGGCTGAATGGAGTCGGGTGACGACTCGTCCTGGCTTTCCAGTCGACATGGAGGAGTATCGATTTGACTGGGTCGACTAGGCTCTAGAAGAGTTGCCTGCTATGAGAGGGCCGATTGGTACCACCGTTCGTGTTGATATTGATGAATGTTGACTTGTCTGATCGGCTAAGTCAGACTGCTAGCTGATCTCTGGCTATCTCTCCCGTCGGTCGAGATGTCGACTCATCTGGGAGGTCAGGATGTCTCGTGTCGATTAGCACCGCTTCTCATATTGACACTGGGGTGTCGGCTTGTCTGGTTGGATGGAGATGGTGACTCATCAGATCATATATTTAAAAATAGTTGTACCCCATAACAGTCGGCCCATTTCACTTGGAGTTGGCTTTAGCCGAGTCCAAGTGAAATGAATAAAGCTTTGGACTGAAATTAGGGCTGTTGATTGCTTTGTAGCATTGCTCTGATCGAGCGAACCAAGTGGCAATTCTTGAGTTGGTTGTGTTGTGTTGACCCGAATGTTGCGAGTCGGCTTGACAACTGGCTCATATTGCGTCTATTGTGGGAAAGATGCTCGGGTCTTGTGTCAATGAAGACTGACAAGTTGAAGTGTTTTAAGTCTTTTTGCCGAAGATAATCGGGCAATTAAAATCCATGCCTTGGGTTTACTCATGATGATACTAAGGTCTTAATGGTAGAATGATGATTTTGAGGCTAGGTCTCATGTTGGACCTTAGTCTTCATAATCCTGGTATGACTGAGAGGTGACTATGGGAGTCGACCATAGAGTTGTGCCTTGGGCTTACCCTGAAAAAGAACTAAGGTCTTGACCATGATGATCGATGAGAGCCGCGTGAATCGACCATGTGTTGTGCATTGGGCTTACCTTGATAAAGAGCCAAGGGCTTTTGACACGCTAGCCCAGAGGTTGGGTTGCCTAGGACTTATTTTGGTGCCTAGGGCTTCACCATGATGGTTGATGAGAATTAGAGGATCCAACCATATGTTGTGCCTTGGGATTATCCTGATAAAGAGCCAAGGGCTTAGAATCCTACTGAGGAGTCGAATGCTTAGATCTGTGAGGAGAGTTGACTAGGGTTTCCCCTCCCCTCTAGCCAAGAGACGATTGTGGGAGTCGGCCAAGGGGTTGTGCCTTGGGTTTATTCCTGATAAGAAACTAAGAGCTTGCTCCAGAGTGCCTAAGGTGCGGCTGAAGAGGACTCTGTGGTCCTGGCTACCACATTGTAGGCTTGGGCATCTTCCATGCCCATGTATCCATGGGCTCTGACCATCAATTGCTCATAATTGGTGATTGACTTCTTAGCTAAAGAGTCGACCAATGCATTGCTCTGCAGGCTGGCTACGAGTGCTGACATGGCGACCGCACTCCGTGGATCGTCGACTTCCAACCTCTTAGCTTGGAATCTCTTGAAGTAGGCCCGGTGGCTCTCTTCTGGTCCTTGCCTTATTTGGATCAGCACGAGGGGGAAGCTCTCGCTTGACGTCAGCTAGGAAATAGTGGATGAACTTTCGGCTAAGTTGTCGAAAGTTTCTAATGGATCTCTTCTCGAGAGTGTTCCACCAGAGCTTAAGACTCCCTGAAAGAGTGATAGGAAAGCATCGACAAATGATTGCTTCTGATGCTTGGAGCATACTCATCACATCATAGTAATTCTGAACATGCTCGGAGGGGTCTCCCTCGCCCTTGTATGTCTCCATGCAAGGCATCTTGAACTTCTCACATGCAACATTCATAAAGTCGTGTGAAAGGGGGTTGTTACTCCCGAAGACGCTTGCGATCGGTCTGTTGACTCGATCATATCCAGAAGCTCTAATGGTAGGACTTTCGCCGGTGAGTTCCTGATAAGGAAGGAGACATCGACGAGTTGACCGATGAGGTGCGAAATTTGCTTGTTACAGCTGTGGAAGCCGACTGAGAAGCTCACTAGTAAAGGTAGCAAATTTCTCTTGGCAAGATTGATGAATCATATGAGCTATTGTTCAAGCTGGTCTTGAGTAGCATAGCTCTGATGAGATCCTTTAGGACGAGATCGCTCAGCTCTATCTTCAGAACTAGACATGTTCTCTCAAAAAAAGAAAGAGGCCCCTATGGTGGGCTCCAAACTATTAATGTTCAAATCACACAAAATAATCCAGAATATGATGGTTGCAGAGTGATGAAAGATGATGGAGGGGACCGTTTCCTTCTCTGACTTTATGTCCTGGCCACCGAGTTAGAGTGAACGATCTGCACAGAAGAAGGTCGTGAGAGGGCGGGGGGGGGGGGGGGGGGGGGGGCGACGATCAAGTCAGTTGATGAACTTGAGCTTGAGTGGAGTAATAGAACTATGTGTTCTTATGCTATGTGTATTAGAGATGATGATCTTTGAGATTTAGGTCAGGAGGAGAGTTTAGATTGCGAACCTTTGGCTATGACGAATAGCATCTGTATATAAAGAGAATGTCAATGGCAGATTGGTCATTTCGGTCATACAAATGGTGGTGACAAAGTGTGAGCTGGAAGGTGAGTCATCATTTGCTCTATATGTGTTGGCTGGCGACAGGAGGAAGATCACTTTGACCTTGCTTTGAGGAGCGATCGATGGGACGTGGGCTGATAAGCAGCGTGATGACACATGGTCTTTGAGTAGACATGATATGACTTGTTATCAGGATGGATAAGCTTTGTCGAAGTTATCTTCTAGCTTCGCTAAGAAGCAATGTCCCTCATGATGAGACTCACGAGGAGAGTCTACTCGTTGAGCGGAGTGACGACTCAAGGATTGCAGGCTGAATGGAGGCGGGGGGCGGGTGACGACTCGTCCCGCCTTTCGAGTCGACATGAAGGAGTATCGACTCAACTGGGTCGACTAGGCTCTTGACGAGTTGTCTGCTATGAGAGGGCCGACTGATACCGCCTTTCGTGTCGATATTGATGAATGTCGACTCATCTGGTCGGCTGAGTCGGGCTACTAGCTGATTTCTGGATATCTCTCCCATCGGTCGAGATGTCGACTCGTCTGCGAGGTCAGGTTGTCTCGTGCCGATTAGCACCGCTTCTCGTGTCGACACTAGGGTGTTGGCTTGCCTGGCTGGATGGAGATGATGACTCATCAGATCATATATTTAAAAACAGTTGTACCTCATAACACTAAATATGTTGAGGCTCCATCTGGAGCTTCTCTTTGGTTGGAGGAATCCTCTAACCAAGGTAAATTTTTTATTTTTTTATTTTGAAAAATAAGGTATAAACTTTAAAACGCGTTTAAAAAAAATCTAAGGGCCCCCAGCCCCCTCAACAGGCAAGTTTTCCAATCTCCCCACCTTGACAACATCGACCAGTTTTTTTTTTTTGTGGCTATTTTTTTTCTTTTTCGCGACCCAACCAGCAAAGAAATCTAAGGGCCCCCCTCAATGCGCAAGTTTTCCAATCTTTTTCGCGACCCAACCGCTAAGTACTCGCGTGCGGGCCCACTCCCAACAAAGCAAACAGATGAAACTTTTTTTTAAAAAAAAATTCTTTTAAAAAAGTATAATTATTTATTTATTTATTTGCTGAGTTATTTTTTTTCCTCTCCAATAAACTCTCTTTTATTTTCCCTTTCCGTTTTTATTAGGGCGCTTCATCAAGATCGCTACTTTACTCGTGATACAACGAGAGAGAGAGAGATTTAGGGGGGAAAAAGAGGGGGAAAAAAGAAAAAGAAAAAAATAACGGAAAACTCTCTCTCTTCTCTCTCTAACATCTCACAATCATCGCTTGTCTAGCTTCATCTCTTCAGCCAATCTCCGGCGAACGCCCCGGCGACACTCGAACCGGCAGAATCTGAACTTGGCGGGGATCTGGGTAATGGGAGTTGAATCATCAACATAAAGTGGAGAAAACAAGCATAAGATCTGATCTTGTTGCGTGCTTCAGTCTAAATCTGCGATCTTTAGCCTTCCTCTAACATGAAGCTAGGGTTTTTGCTCGTGGTGCTGTCGGCG